GAGCTGAGTGTGCCGCCGTTCCTCGGCATCGCGCCCTGCGACCTCGAGGGGGCGCCTCTGCGGGAGGCCTGCCTGGGTCCGCCGTCTCATTGGGGTCGGCTATTCGAGTCTGGACAGGTCCTTCGGCCAGCGCAGTACGAGAGAGCTCGAGCAGTCTGTCGAGCACAGAATCGTGGTCAAGCGGTTCCACCTCCGGACGCAGAGCCTCTGTTGGACGACGTCGGTGAGTCTGACGACGGGGGCGGCGCCCTCGCGCCCGTGGGCGCGGCAGCTGTCGGCGGCGCGGTGACGCGGCAGGCACCGCCCGCCTCCGCCCCGGAGGACGTCAGGATTCTCAAGATCGCTGACGAGCTCGGAGTCATGTTCGGGGGAGGGCGCCTTCCTGCCCCAGACGGCCGCTGGGTCGACGTCAGCTCCGTCAGCGGTCTGGCCCTCGACTCGCCGAGCGGGTATGCATGGGTCGTGGGGCCGGAGTTCGGCATGATGCTGAAGGGCGGCAAGCTGCGGCTCATCGCGGACCGCGGGGCGGGGCCGGCCGACCAGGGCGACGACGGCGGGGGGGCGGAGCTCGACGCACGCATCCTCGAGGTTTCACGAGACCGACTGGGCAAGCGTTTCAAGGATTCCAAGGTCGCGGTCGATTTGGTCACGGAGACGGCGTGGGGCTCATGGCCCTTGACAGGGCCGCGGACCACCAAGTGGTGTTTGCAGTTTATTCTTCAGACAAGCGGCCACCCGGGGGCTCGGCATTCATGGTGGAAGTCGACATGCTCGCTCTCCATCGCTGACCCTGGAGTTTCAGATCACGAGACGGCCATGAAGGCGGCGGGGTACGCTCTGACCTACGACCAAGTCAACGCCGCGGAGCTATCGTTCGTAGAGCTCCTCCTTCGGCGGGCCCAGCTGGCCGAGTACCGCTACAAGCACAAGCTGTTATGGACAGATGGCCAGGTTGACGCTCTCCTGCAGGACGAATTCCTGTACCTCGGGGTCGGAGAGACTCGTGGGCAGTTGATGATTTGTCCACTGTTGGAGGAGTTTGTGGCGTCGGAGCTCCACCGCGAGAGCACGATATCTAAGGAGTCGAGGAAGCTGAACGAGGAGAGGAGGCTGCAGGCAGGTCAGGCTTCTCATGTGCATCGACCCCTCGTGGATGCTGCGGCTGGTCTTCTGACGTTCCCGGACGGCCCCGGAGGCAAGGGCAAGAACGAGGCTGAGCGAGCTGCCGAGCGAGCCGCCGCCAAGGCGCACGCGAAGGGCCTGGACAAGGCCACCGCGGCAGCCAAGGCGGGGGCGGGAGGCGCTTGAGCGGCCGGGCGGCTGGGGCCCCGTCCAGCCGCCGATAGCAGGGATGACTGTCAGCCGCGAGCTTCTACCCCTCGCGCTGCCGTATCCTCGTGAAGACCACTTTTCCTCCCCAGCCTCTGGGTGCCGATCTGTGCGACGCCGTGTGCACGTTCGTAGGCATTGGCAGGCGCGGGTTAATTCGGCGGTGGAGTGCTTGAATGAGATGTACGGCTGTCCTGTTAATGCTCCACCTGGTCTGGGGGAATCACTCGCTCAGCGCCGGAGTGTCGAGATCCTCGCCGACGTCTATCGGGCCATGCCTCCGCCTCCCTGCACCGCCGCGCAAGCCCTCAGCGAGCTTGGCGGCAGCCGCCCGGGCTACGCCGACAGCGACCCCAGGCGCAACTTCCAGCCTGACTTAGTCTCCTTGCCCTCGGTGGGCGGCCTGGCGGACGGCGAGCAGGTGCTGTCCGGCCAGGCTCTTGAACGCTGGAGGTCTGTATCGACTACCTTGCGGCCAGAGTCCTCTGGCAGCTCAACTTCGGCTAATGCCCTAATTCGACCGTACAGCGACCTTTCTCTGGTCAAGGACCAGGTGCGTTATAGTAACTTCGTCATGCAAATGCTGGAGGCCGGTCTGGTCACCACACGTGCTGAGCGCCCAGCTACGGTTGGCATCTTCTTCGTGGCGAAGAAGGACGGGCGCTTGTGCATGGTTTTGGACACCAGAGCGGTCAACGACCTCTTCGACGAGCCGGCGCACTCGCGCCTACCAACTCCTGCGTCGTGGGCCTCCGTCGAGATCGGGCTCGCGGACGACCTTATTCTGTCCCAGATGGACGTTGACAACGCCTTCTACCGCTTCAAAGCGCCGCCCGGCGTCTCGGACCTTTTTGCACTGCCTCGGGTTTCTGCAAGTTGGCAACTAGGCTTGGCGTGACCGCGACTGGCTACGTCACGCCTCACCTCGAAGTCATGGCCGTGGGCTGGTCTTGGGCTCTTTACTTCTGCCAGGCTATGGCGACGGCCAGCGCGCTCCGCGCGGGCGTGCCCACGGAGGCCTTCCTGCTTGACAAGAAGCACGCGCCCGACATCACGGGCGACAAGTTCGGGACTGCGATCTACGTCAACAACGCGGGGGTCATCGGCACCTGTGACGACGTCGTCAGGGACATGGCCAGGAAGCTATACGCCCAGCTCGCGGCCGACGGGCTCCAGCGCAAGGAGCTCGAGCACGGCTCGCCCGAGGCCCAGTTCACAGGCATGGCGCTCGACCGGGCCTCAGGGCGCATTTCAGTCGGGCACCGCCGCTGTTGGAAGGTGCGCCTGGCCATTGCGGCCATCCTCGAGGACGGGTTCGTCTCGGAGAAGATCTTGCATCGCATCGTAGGGCGCTTCACGTGGTCGGCTATCTTGAGACGGTGCCTACTCAGTATCCCGCACTCGATCTATCGCTTCATAGAGGTCGCCGGCGACTCGCCTGTCAAGATCTGGCCTGCGGTCGCCCGAGAGCTCCGTTGGATGATGGCGCTGCTGCCGCTGGCCTACACGGACAGCAAGAGGCCCTGGAGCACGCGGGTCGTTGCGACGGACACCGAGGGGGCCAACGTCGCGGACAACGAGGGGTTCGGCATCGTGGTGAACCCCTTCGACCTCCAGACTGTGAGAGAGTGGGGCCGGCAGAGCGAGCGCTGGAGGTTCGCAGTCGAAGACGCTGCACAGGCCCGCCGCCGCGCCTTGGCTTCCGATGGGGAGCCGTCGGGTGCGCAGCGGCCGTGCGATGGGGGCTCTGCCAGATGAGCTCCCTCCCGAGCTCATGGACATCCGGCGCGAGAGCACCGGGCCTTTCTCTAGCTGGGGATTGAAGGTTCGCGGCCGCTGGCGAGTGGCCGAGAACATCACGTCATCAGAAGGAAGGGCAACGGTCATCGCTGCCAGAAATCGTCTTCGATCGGTTCGTCCTTTCTCCCTTCGCCACCCCTTCCTCGGAGACAACTTGGGGTTCGTCTTGGCGCAGGGGAAGGGCAGGGCGAGCAGCATGGTCGTCAACAGACACTGTCGTCAATTAGCAGCACTGTCGATGGCATCGGATTCGGACTTCGTCTCGAGATGGATTCCTTCAGAGTTCAATCCCTCCGACGCCGCCTCCCGGATCAAGACGGGGCCGCCCGTGCGGGGCGGCGGCGGGCCGCGGGATGCTCGTCCACCTTGGGCAGCCCGAGGCCCGGAAGTGCGCGCCTCGCTCCAGGCTGCTGTCGAGGCGCTCGCCCGAGCCAGCGGCGACCCAGACGCCCCGCCCGAGTTCGACGACGGGCTCTGGCGCCCAGGCGGCGGGCCTTACACGCTGGGACCATCAAGCACTTGGCGCGATTGGGTTGACGACGGGTGCCTCGAGGACTTCGACTCGGATAGCGACGACTCAGAGGCTGCTGCTCTCTCGGACGCAGCCTCTGCCTGCGAGGAGACCATTGACGGAGGTCAGCCACCAGCCAGCCGCCCAGCAGCGAAGGCAACGTGCTCGCCGCCGTCAGCTGGCTCACCAGGACGAAGCTCTGAAGGCACGCAGTTTCGGCCAGTACTTCTTGGAGGTGAACAAGGTGACGCGTCCTTCTGCCTTGATGTACGACAGGTACTTTCGGGACTTCCAGACCTGGGCCAGCAACAACGGCCTGCCGCTGAACGCCAGCGAGGACATCTCCTTCGCGATGCTCGAGTACCTGGAGGACCTCTACTTCCAGGGCCACAGCCGCGACTCGGGAGAGAAGGTGATCGCGGCGCTTTAGTACAGGACCCCAGGCATTCGCAGCGCGAAGGTCCTCGGGCGGGCCAAGATCGCGCTGAAGGGCTTCAGGAGGCTGGCTCCTGGTCTCAGCCGGGCGCCCTTGCCGTGGATCGGTCTGTGCGCCCTAGTGGGCGCAGCTCTGCGCATCAACGAGCTGGAGTTCGCGCAGTGCCTGGTGTTCCAGTTTCGGACGTACCTGAGGCCTATCGAGTGCCGGGGGTTGCGGGTGGCTCAGCTCGTTCCTCCGCTCCCTGGCTCGGGGACCAAGTTCTGGGCGCTGCTGCTGGCGCCCGAGGAAGAGGCCATCCCCACGAAGACCAAGGAGTTCGACGAGAGCATCCTCTTGGACAGTCCCGAGCTGGTTTGCCTCTACCCACGCTTCTCAACCTTGAAGAAGCGCTCAGGCCAGGACATGGTGTGGTCCTTCGACTAGCGGAAGTTCTCGAGCCTGTTCAAGCGCGTGTCAGAGGCTGCAGGTCTGGGCCAGGCCAACCTCCACCCGTGCACGACGCGGCGCGGGGGGGCCAGCGACGACGCGCTCAGGCAGACCCGCTCCCTGGAGGAGATCAAGCGCCGCGGCCGCTGGGCCGCGGACACATCAGTCAAGAGGTGCGAGAAGCATGCACGAGTTCTGAAGTCACTGGAGCGCCTGCCCAAGCCGGTGCGGGACTACGGCCTGGCCATCGAGAGCCAGCTGCGCCAGCTGCTGGCCCTGCAGGCCAAGCCGCCTCCGCCACCCGGGCTGGGCCCGAAGCGACTGCACGGGAAGGGATGAGACGGCCTTTTCACGGAGGCCGTGGGGGCCACAACGCGGGGTTGGATCAACACTTGCCTGCTCGTCAAATTCGAGGTAGACTTCGGAAAGTTTTCCAGCGCGCGGCCAATCTTGGCCACGACAATCGTGTGTATCTAGATTTGTTCTCGGGCGCAGGTGCCATTGCTGAATGCCTGAACTCGATGAAAGAAAGTAGCATCAGCTTTGACTCTCTCAATGGACCAGAGTATGACCTCACCAACCCAGTTGTTGTCAATGTGATCTTGGGCTGGATCCAGTCCGGCGTGGTGAAAGGTATCTTCGCAGCTTTCCCATGCAGCAGCTGGACTCCAGCCTTGTTCAAGCAGATCCGCAGACCTTGGTGCCCTTACGGGATCCCGAACCCGACTCCCGCGGAGGCTGCTAGACTGAAGACGGGTAATCAGACGCTGAAGGTCACCTGTAGGCTTGTGAGGGCTGGTATCCGTGCGCGTGTACCTGTTTTGCTAGAGAATCCTCGCGCCTCGAAAGCGCGGCGCGAAGCGCGAATGTCGGCCTTGATGGGCCATCCCTCTTGTAAGCAGCTTGTGATCGACCAGTGCGGTTTCGGAGCCCGCTGGCGTAAACGTACTCGCTTCGTAGGCTGGCATGTCCCCATGCTGCGTCATGAACACTTGCTTTGTAAAGGCCACGGGTGATGTTCTTTTGAGCTGAAACCTTACATCATACTTCGGGGTAAGGCCCCGGGGTCAGGCGTCAACTTAACGGCCCTCGCTGCCTCCGACCCTAAGAGGTTATCGGTTGCCATTGCGATCTGGCTCGTGAGATCCGTTGAAGCCCTCCGTGGTGCCCGTTTAAATCGAATAGTGGGGTAAGGTTTCACCTCAGACGGCTCCAGAGCACAGTATGGGTCTGGGGGTTTGAAGTTTCGTGCCGGCCCTGCGGGCCGCCTTGGTTATGGCCGAGGACCTCGGCCCCAGTCTAGCCCGAGCTGTCCTGAGAGATTCGCTATGCATCTCAGTCACACACAGATTGAAAAGTGAACGGTTGCGACTGCTGCGCATACAGGGCCGTCGCCCGCTTCCGTCTGGCCTAGAGGGTGAGAGATGCTACAATTCTCTGAACGTGTTTCTCTCTCCCCTCCGGCCGCATCCGTCTATGCTCAAGTCTTTCCTCCCGCCGTCCCCGCCTATCGCCATTATGGTGAAGGGGGTTTGAAGTTTCGTGCCGGCCCTGCGGGCCGCCTTGGTTATGGCCGAGGACCTCGGCCCCAGTCTAGCTCGAGCTGTCTGAGAGATTCGCCATGCATCTCAGTCACACACAGATTGAAAAGTGAACGGTTGCGACTGCTGTGAATACAGGGCTGTCGCCCGCTTCCGTCTGGCCTAGAGGGTGAGAGAGAAATGGGCCCGGTGGGCCCCAAGTGGCCCCCTGGATGGCCCAGGAGGGCCCTTATCGGCGAACCGCCGCTCCTGGACGCCCAAAATATTCCCCTGATGGCAAAGGGCGCCGCCCAAGACGGCCCGCAACGTTTCCCGGAGTTCCCCCTGTGGGGGCCCCAAGAGGCCCCCCCCCCAGAAAAAAAATATAGGAAAAATGAACTTGGACTCGGACCGGGGGCGTTACAAAGGGCATGAGCCCGGCCGATAAGAAGGTTCATTGCGTCGCTTTACGCATTAGGCGCCCCGGGGGGCGCCCGATTTACGTCGTGCTTCGTCTGAGTGGAAGTTGGCGCATTGGTTATAGTTGAGGCAGGGTGTGAACACGATTTCGAATTGGTGTTCGTGTTGTAGCAGCCGGCCTCTCTCGCACACACGCACGCACACGCGCCGTGGCCACGTCGGCTCCAGCCAGGTTGGGCTCACAGGGGCCCTTGCGCGAGACCAGTTTCGCGAGTATGTCTGCAGTGCCGCCATTCACGTCAGCGGCCTGGGCGGCAAGATTCCATGGGGAGTGGCGCCCGCCAGGGCCAGGCGCACATTGCCCAGCGGAGCGCGTGGCGTTGGGCCCGCGAGGGCGTGCCAACAGCACAGCGCACGTCCCGCCTTTCACGTCGGCTTCGTCTGCGGCGCCGAGCGGGTTGGCAGGCGCCCAGGTCACCCACGGGGGTGTGCAGAATCATGCAGACGCGCGGCGGTATCTGGCGGGCGCCCCAAGCTGGGGGCACGCAGGCAGCCGCGGGGTTTCGACACTGGGGCCCAATCTGTTGCAGAACGTGGCGCAGGCGATTTCTCCGCCCGGTGACAGAGCAGAAACCTTTGCGATTACAGCTGCAGGTGTGCCTCCGGTGAACGCCGGCTCTGGCTGGTGGATTTCGAGACTCCTGGGCCTCCCAGAGAGACAACGCACGGGCTGGGTGGTGGCACAGGCCATGCATGAGTTCCACCGCGAGACATCCGTAGCACAAGCGACGGGATGGCGGACACTTGATGACCGCATGTCGTCGGCTGGCCTCGGCCGGCTTTTGTCGGACAGGCTGCCGCCCCGGCAGGCGGTGGCCGCGCTGGCGGCGGCGGGTGGAGATGGCTCTCAACAAGAGATCGTGGCCGAGGGGCCAAGAATCATGAGCCAGAGGTCCGCTGTGGGTGCCTTTGTGACGGCTGCCGCCGTTGAAGTACGTATTTGCGTTACCAATGGTATAAAAAGTGCGTCTGCCTCTACTACAAATACGATTGCAAATACAGGAGGCAGAGGGGAAGAGGAGGGCAAAGAGATAAGAGAGAATCACGGAGGAGGAAGGAGGGGATACAGTGAGCTTGCCCCTCCCCCCTCCTCCTCCTCCTCCTCCCCATCCTCCTCCTCCTCCTCCTCCCCCTCCTCCTCCTCCCCCTTTTCCTCCTCTGTTAAAAGGATTCGCCAACTTACTGCACTGCGCGCGCTTGCCTGCCTGCCTGCCCTCCCCCGCCCAGCGCTTTTGTCTGCTGCAGCTGCCGGCTGGCAGCAGGGAAGAGGGAAGAGGAGAGGAGAAGGAAGGAAGGGAGAAGGAAGGAAGAGGGAGAGGGGCAGCGAAGGGAAGGTTGGGCAGGGCGAAGGGAGGAGGGGGAAGGGGGAAAAGGGCAAAAGGGGGGAAAAGGGCAGAGGATGGAGAGTGCCGAGCGCCACCCCCAGCACGGCTCAGCCCCGCCGCGCCCGGTGTTCTGGCTCTACTACACCACCATGGATGCAGGCTCGCCGGTGCCTCTTGTTCCCCCTCCTTTCTCGTCGCTGCATTTTCTGGGCTGTCCGCAGCGAGTGCGCACTGGCACGAGTGCGCGACGCGTGTCGAGGGCACCGCCGATTCTGCTCATCTCCTGCTGCTCTACTTGGCCAAACCCAAATCATCCCGGCAAAGGGAGGACCCAACCATGCGCAGTTGTGAGCACTGCAAGTGTGAGTGTCTTCTTCAGTGGATCCCCCTCGCCCTCCCAATTTCCTTGCCCTTCCCTTCTTTCTTTTCATGTTCCTTCCTTTTCCTCTCCTGTCCTTTCCTTTCTGTCTCCTCCTCCTCCTTTCCTTTTTTTTTCCTCTCGCTTGTCCTTCTTCTCCTCCTCCTCCTCCTCCTCCTCTCCTTCTGTTCCTCTTCCTCGTCCTGTTCTTTTCGTTCCCCAGTGCCCCTTGCCCCCCCCTCCCCCCCCCCCATCCCTGCGAGGCGCTGGCCCCGCGCGCCCTCAGATGCAGCCGGCAGCTGCTGGGCCTGGCGCGCGGGGGGGGGGGGGGGGGAGGGTGGGGGGGGGGGGGAAGGAGGAGTCTTTCAGAGCCCGCAGTAATTATTCCAGGTGGTCGTAATAAAGGGAGGGAAGGCATCATTTCGGGGGGTCCTCTTCCAGGCTATCTTGGGTGGCCCGGGGGTCTGGGGGCGATGTTTTGGAGGGTTCTCCCACGGGGAAGGTCTGAAATGGTTTCTCTTGGAGGGTCCAGACCCCTTCCCTTTTATTGCGAAATCTGGAGTATCCATGTGCGCACGTTCAGACGAACGCGCGGCGCAACGTGGTCTTTCCATAGCCAGAGGGGTCACCATCGTGCGCGCGAGCGCGCGGCAACCTTGGGAAGGGACAGCGTGCCTTGTTGAGCTGCTTCAGACGGCAGGCAGCAGCAACGTGTTTGTTGTTGCGCAGCTGCTGGATATGTGAGGAGGAGGAGGAGGAGAAGGAGGAGTAGTAGTACTGCTACTACGACTAGTAGTGGTAGTAGTAGGTGTAGCAGTTGTATTAGTAGCAGTAGTAGTAGTAGTAGTAGTAGTAGTGGTAGTAGTAGTAGTAGTAGTAGTAGTAGTAGTCGTAGTAGTAGTAGTAGTAGTAGTAGTAGTAGAGAAGTAGTAGTAGTAGTAGTAGTAGTAGTAGTAGTAGTAGTAGTAGTAGTAGTAGTAGTGGCAGTGGCAGTAGTAGTAGTGGAAGTAGTAGTAGTAGCAGCGGTATAGTAGTAGTAGTAGTAGCAGTCGTAGTAGTAGTAGTACTTGTAGTAGTAGTAGTAGTAGCAGTAGTAGTGTTTTTTAGTACTTTGTTGTAGTAGTAGTAGTAATTTTTTTAATTTAAGACTAAATAGTAGTAGTAGTAGTTGTAGTAGAATGTGGTAGTTAGTGAGTAGTAGTAGTTAGTGTGGTAGTGGTAGCAGTAGTAGTTAGTAGTAGTAGTAGTAGCGTAGTAGCAGTAGTAGTAGTAGTAGTAGTAGTAGTAGTAGTAGTAGTGGTAGTAGTAGTAGTAATACTAGTCGTAGTAGTAGTAGTAGTCGTAGTCGTGGTCGCTTGGAACAACATAAGATTGACATCCACATTTTGGGTGTACCGGCCTATCCGCTGCTTCAGGCGTGTAGTCTGTTGGACGTCGTGCTCCTCCTCCTCCCCCTCCCCCCCCCGAACGTGGTGACGTCAGCCCGGCCAGCCACTTTATGTCATTTACCTGTCCACTTTCGCGCGTGCGGGAGGCGGGCAAACCGGAGCAACATAAGATTGACATCCACATTTTGGGTGCGCCGGCCTATCCGCGGCTTTAGGCGTGTAGTCTGTTGGACGTCGTGCTCTCCCCTCGCGGCCTGCGGGCTGGTCC